CGACATCAGTCTTCGTCACCATGTGCCAGCTTGCCATTTAGCTGACAAATTTAGATGATGGTATGTTTATCTTGAAAGTTTATCACTGCTTTTCAGAACCTGAAGTCCATCTGACCATGTCTTAGAAGACATATAGCTCCTAACTAGCATCCTTGGACTTCCTCAGACTTCTTGAGGAAGAGTGATTGCGTCAAAGTCTATCAGTGTAACATAGAAGTTTTAACCAAGACAACAGGCAGTTTGCTGTGAGCAAGCGACAAAGAGGTAAACTCCAGAGCTCAGCGATGTCAAATCTGCCTGCGAGCCTACACAGTCGTATAGAGTAGCAAAAGGAAAAACAAAAATACATTCTATCACATAAAATAAAGAAGGGAGAGTTTAAAAAGCAAGACGTACCTAGTTATATTATCTGTAGCCAACAGACACTTGTACTGCTCTGCCATCAAGGGCAGAGCAGAGGAAAAGGCAGGATAATGGTGGTTCTTCTCTCATTTAATATCCTTAGGAGCTAAACAGTGCTGTTCAGAAGAGTCTCTTCTCGCACACATTTCAAGTCGGTTTAAGCAAACATACATTCAAGAACTACTCGAACACAGACTCATGGCTGTTTAAGGACTGAACGAGCTTTTGGACACCACTTCCCGTGCTTTTTGCTTCCTCCTTCTTACCTAAGGGAAGTTTAGAGTACGGAAGAAATTTTTCCCAATAACAAATCTGGGTGCCTCCTATTTACAGGCCTACTTTCATTTCACTTTGTACAAATTTCATACCAAAGCTACCTGAATAGACTCCCAGTTTCACTGTGAAGTGGCAGACACGTGCTTTAAAGATCAAAGTCAACGAATATCTTGCAGCTTGCACTAAAAACAGCTGAAAACAATTTTTCCCCCTCCACTACAGCACTACAGCCTTTCAGCCAGTGCTTTCTTCTCTAGCGCAGCAAATATAGCCAAATTTATCATTCCTAATCCAGTCAGAGTGCCGTAAATGCAGCATTTTAATCTGCTCCTCTTTGGTGAGCACATCACATTTAATGCTGATGAAATGTCCGCTATCTTACTAACAGTTTAAGATTTACTTTCACAACTGAATTGGAACAATTTCTGGTGCTATAAAAAAAAGCCTATTAGGTCAGTTCTGACTCAGCCTTGCTCAATGTGGCTCGTCTCATGGCAAAACTAATAGTCAGACAATACAGCCTTAAGCTAAGGGCTGGCCCAGTAATTTTAATGCAAGCTTCACTTCCTTAGTGAGAGATCAAGTCTCCCTTATTTACAAAAGGGAATCTGAAAGAGCAGTGGCTTAAAGCATGTATTTTAGCTTTCTGCTTGAGAAGATTAAACTTGCTTTAAACAGATATATACAAATGGTATTATAGCCTAAGAATTCATAGAATGCTAGAAAAAAAATACCCTTACGTTTCCTTACACGCTCCTCAGGAAATCTACTGGCAAGTTGCAGGAAAGCTTCAGTATTCTACTTTGTTACACAGAAAAAAAAACTGAAGTAATGAATTAACATTAAAGAAAAGCAGCAGCAAATGCGTAACCACTCATGATTTACATCTGAATTCTGTCCATATAGCCCAGCAAATGAAAGCAAAAGAAATCTTGAATTTGAAAGATCTTCCTAGCTCTACCACTGCCCTAATGCCGAGAAACAGCCTTTGGTAAGCCATTTTACTTTTCTGTACTCCCCTCTACGTCAGCAGAAAATGAGTCTTTCACCCTCAGCAAAGAACTTTGAGAGCTAGAAACTGTTGAGCGGAAAAAGTGTTTATTAATCAATGCAGCTTAACTGCCCTAAACAAAAATACAAGCAGCTCTTGTAAAATACTACCTTGTTATAAACAGATAAACAGCAAGGTTCTGCAGGACTCTGTGTAAAGTTTAAACTGTATTTTAAAAACTTGCCCCATTTTAGTTGCTTTTTAATTTTTTAACTTCACCAGAATAGTTTTTCCTCTTATTACTCCAGTGGTTTCACATTCTCTCAAAGAGAAGACAAGTCTGTATGCCTGCTCAGAAATATGAAGCATGCTTTTTAAAAGCACCTGATTCAGCAGGTTCTATCAAGGATAAATTATCCTGATCTTTCTCATTATTTTTAGCCGCTTGTACTACTCATGCAATATTTCAAGCATATGTTGAAGCTTGTACCTTTTATTAGCTAAAAAAAAACCCCCAAAAATTCCATCCTAGGCTTAGGACTTGTATATTCTTGGAGCAATGATTACAACTATTTAAGGGAGAGGGGGAAAAAAAAAAATCTGATTTTAAGGATGCTTTGCTTTTCTGAAAACCACCAAACCTAAAAGTCTCCACAGTGAAGGTTATTTCCATGTTCCACACCTTCCACCATTCTTTAGCATCTTCCACATTCACTGGAACTTACTCTCTTCTGACTGAAGATTTTATAATAATGCAAACCCCAAATCCTTAATATCTCTGTTTCATTTATGTAATTTATCTATGGAGTCAAAACAGTTGGATAAATATGGATTAGACATATATACACACACAATACCTCAATGGATTGCTATGATAATCGAAAATTTTAATACATCTGGAACTTCAAAAGTCAAGATTACATTAAATGCACAACCACAGGACAGTAACTTCACATTTATATCTTTATGGCATCCCAAAAGATTGTCCTAAGGCTAGTTCTGATGAAGGGAATTAAAAAATTCCCAAGAGTTTATTCTCTCATTTGGATTTCGGTACAGTATTAAAATACATAACTTCCTCAATTTGTAAAGGAATTAAAGCAATTAGAAGTACTTTTAGAACATTATAATCTCTACATTATCGTAGAAAGGAAGAAGCAACTCCCTTTGGTCATTCCTCATTGACATTTTCATACTTTTCTAATCATAACTGAATGTTTGTGCAAGCTGTGTCACAAGTAGGATCTGGGAAAAACTCCACAAAAATGTTAATCACCAACAGAGACACAGTGTATGCAAAATCTAAATTAATATATACTAAGAAAAATAGAGGGACAGTTACAAGTTGTGCAGATACCAGGAAGAACAGTTGTTGTTTTCCTCGTTTCCCACACTACGGTATCAGAAGAGAAGATAACATTTTAAGTTATAGACAATTGATTTAGTATGCAGTTTTTCAGTCTGTCAGGTATGCATCCTACCCTTTGTAGCTTAAGCATACACACCCCTTCCTCTTAATTTCCCCATAAATTTAATTTCCTGTTCAGAATCCACCCTCTGGTTTCCAGCATTACGCTCCCTTGACACAAAATTTCTGAACAGCAACATGCGAGATGACTGACATTAGTTGAACTCGTCATCAAGAAATACTTAAAAGTTTCTGAAACAGCAGCTCAAGCAATTTTGACTTCAGATAGCTCAGCCTGGACATGCTCTCATAGCGAAGGCATCTTCGGTTTCTGAACTTCTACCCAAAAATCCCATATACAACTTGCTTCTAACTTTATGAGAAAAATTCTATGCTGGAATGAAGTCACAAGCATGAAACTAAACCTACATTGGTTTAAGTAAAGTTGGGATGAATTGTATGAGGGCACGGCGTGAGACGATGATTATCGACAAGATCTGCTTCCTTCCACATTAACCTAGGCAGGATCCACACAGACTCAGCCTGTTTCTGACCTTCTTTGAAGGCAACGTTTACCATCCCAAATCTGCTTCAAGCTACTGGCTGTCACGTTAAACCAAATCTAAACCACCACCTTCCTATTTAAGGCTTACTTAAGGATTACTTCATGGATTAACACACAAAAGAAAGTCATCAGTACTACACACAGATACAAACACACACAGGGTAATAAGTAGTATACATAGAAGATATCCCACTCCCCAGTTGTAGCCTACCGTGCCTTTATCCTGAAGGCACATCATGAGAGTGCAGACATCCCCTGTTGCTTGATGGTTCACCAGCACCACGGCTTCATCTTCTGATACTGCTTTAACATCGTCACCCCATTCCACTACTATTAAAAAAATAAAAATAAAAAGGTAAACTTTACAATGACTACGTGCTAATTTCACTAGCAACAAAATAAACCAAAAAAAAGATCCCCACACCCAGACAGTTACAATAAAGAAACCTACATGCTACATGTCGATTTAAATTGGAAAATAGCATAAAGATAGGAAAATCAGCATCTTTTTTCCAAGCAAAGGGTTTCCAACTTAGTTTTAAATTGCATGCGCAAAATATGGACAAAACAAAAATACTTCATCAGAACATATGCATACAGATTGATCTTTTTATGTCATTACACCTTTCTACATTTAGGGTCTCAAAATTACATAAGCTTTTGACCCAGCTTTCAAATTCAACTGTCTCGCCTCATTAGATTTAAAAAAAAAAAAAAAAGAGTTGTCAAAAATGTTTTTTCTTGTTGTTTTTAATCTCAGCAGGTTTGTTTTATTTCTACATCTACTCTTCTTAAACTACTCTGGAAAAAGCAAACCAAAAAATCTGTAGTTGGAACATTACGTTTAAAATGCTACTTTAAACAAACAGTAATTCGAATGTAAATAAGTTAATTATAGACAAGAAGGTGGGTTCAGAAAATGAGCTGCTCAGATGACAGGAACTATTAGTCATTATTTTGTAAACCGGAGACCAGATATTTCAGTGGCCAGAATGACATCAGGAGGAAGCTACAACTGTTGATCATCCCACATTTACTAGCAAAAATATGCTGAGGTGAGGAAAAAAAATAGTTAAAATTGCTAATTGCATCATCAGAAAGTAACTAAATGGAGAAAGAGCAGAAGGTCTCCTACAGAAGGAGGAAGGATGGAAAACTGAAAAAAAACTTGCCATAAATCAAAGACCAGCATACATCTAATGCTGTGACTGGGGTAAGGAGACAAACGAGTAGAGTCTAGACCTCTTCAGTGAAAGGGATGGTTAACTTCAGTGCAGGGTAGAGGGAAGGGATGGGCAAGGAACGGAGTTCTATACGTTCAAAAGGAAAACTAAGATTCACTGCCCATACAGGTAGGATATGATTTTTTTTCCCCCCCTCCCTGTATTTGTGTAGTATCTTAAAGGGTTCTTACTGGCTATCATTTCAGTTTCTGATATCAAATGAAATAGTTCACCTTCACTACTGCGTCTTTAGTACAGACAAGAAAGGCTTTATTATCAGGTCTGCAGACAGAGTACAACTCAAGCACACAGGACCATTAAAGGAATATATTTTCATTACTATCTGTCTTCTGTACAATAGTTTGAGGCAAAAGCAATAGGCTATAGGCTACACACTGAAGACAAGCAGCGATAACTCCTGAATACTACAGCTTTCCCTTGCAGAAATTCAATTAGTACCACACGTTTGAAACCTGCAGAGCTTCTGTTCATTCCTAACACCACCAAAACCAGTACTGAATTGAGGTTTAAATATGTGTATTTGGACACATCGAATCAGAGGACCGAGAGGGAGGAGGGAACACCATTCACCCCACAACGTTTAACTTCCTTTCCTTCTCCCTGGTAAGCTAAGCCCTTATTTTTCTCAATATAACTAGGAAGATTCGCTTCATTCTGTCTCTGTGATCACTTGCAAATTCCCTCTGATGTCCCCTCTGATTATGACTTCTAATTCCGTAGATGTTACAAAATCCCTGGCAATCATAGCCGATTGTGCATCTTCCTTATCAAGTATTCCACATTTCTACACATGGCAGTACCCCACAACATCAGAAACCACCTGAGATGAAAGAAAAAATTGTATCAAGGGGAAAGTATCAAGTACATATTCATTTCAAAGTGATCACTTCAGTATCTACACTAAAGAGCCAAAACACAATAGTCTTACTGAACTGTGACTTTCCAAAAATAAAAAATAAGTAACAATCGCATTAAGCATCTGCAAAATAAGGATTCTTGCAAGTATCTAACTATTGCCAAATAAAATGATTTTATTTCCAGAACACTGGAAGAAGAAAAATATATATATATATCTTATGGGTATTTCCCTGGAACATATCGATTTCTGATATCAAACATTTTACTGTAGAACAGTTTAAAATGAAACCGACTATTTTTAACCTTTGAAAGCGTTTCACAGATCCAACTTTCTGAAAGACTAAAATAAAGGTCACAACTGAAAAAATTAAGTCACAAAAAGTAACAAGCATTGAAAACAGCTAAAAAGGAGGAATTATGCAGCTTTTTTTTTTTTTTGGGGGGGGGGGGAACATTTACAGAAGAAAAGTAACCTCGTCAAAGGAAAAGGGTGGTGGGGTGGGGAGGAAGCCTTCTGCAGTTACCTAAAATGTTTTACCCGCTCTTGTTAAGAAGTAGCATGCACAAACATGCAAACAGCTTAAAATTCATTAACAAGTTTCAGCTGAAATACAGTAACTAACGAGGTGGGCTCTGTTGTCCACTCTCCAATGCAAGGTAAAGAAATACTTGATTTAATCCTTAAATTGATTTATTCAAGTTGTGTCACCTGTCAGTTGGTCAGACTAATAGCTCAACTGCAGCTCAGCTGACAGGTAGTAAGTTATAAAACCACAGTAATTCAGCTGTTTATCCTCTAGTTTCTCTTCCCTCTGTTATTTCTCCTCCGGCAAGCAGGCTGTCTCTTGTGCTTGATGCTACTTCATGGCCAACTGATTGAACTGATTATCAATGAGAAAAGAACCAGTTCACGTCATCCGTCAAAGACCATTTCTAGAGAGGAAATGGAACAGTACACCACAAAAGCGTGCAGAAAACCACTGACGTTAATACAGTTTGTTAAAGAGGAAAGAGTCAAATATCTAGATTTTAAGTTCACAGTGTCCCTTTAAACTCGGGGGGAATAAATGCCTGTATAACTTAATTTTTTCACTGGTCTGAGATCTTCCAAAATGAGAACTTTTTTCTTTAAGAAATACTTGTGTGCTATCACGTTCCTCCACACCAAGTGGAAACATTCAGATCAAAACCCAAGACGCGCGGGCAGAACCAGGAACACTGCTTCGCTCCACTATAAAAAGACAAAAACATTTCAAAGACAAATATTTGTCACTCAGGGCACCTAAAAACCAGTAAGCATTCCTCCACGATTTCCTGCTACTGCCAGGACACATTTTATAATGACACCAGTCCTGTGTCTACAGCCTCACAATAGTCAGATTTCTGCAAACGTAAACGAAATAACACAAAGAAAGAAAGAAGCAGGAACTCTGTCTTAGCTGGCAATTTGAAATCATGGTAAATTCAGTACCAAGCAAATCTGGTAATCCTGATTAGTAATGAAGTCTTTTACCCATAAAATATACAGAGAAATGGCTTAGCTATTAGAGAGACCTCATTTGTGACTTAGTGTTGTAAGAAAAAGGATTCTCCAGGAAGGGATCAAGACTCAGCACGTAAATAGAAATAAATGCAAAATAGAAGGATTTAGCCTTCCCCTGCAAAAAGACGTCCAAAGTGTATAGAAGTCTCTAAAACACCAAAGCATTTTAAATAATCAGCTGCAAACTGAGCTTTTTATGAGCTGCTGCTTGCAAAGCCTAAAGAAGAAAATAATAAAAGCAATACAAGAGGGTTTTTTTCCACGTTGTAACTGAACTAGTGCGACTAAATGTAGCTATTGAGAGCTCTCAGAACACTTGGCTGCTTTGTAATCATGTCCTTAACATAACCACGTGCATATAAGTGATGCTAGGAACAAATATCAAAGCACTTTAATAGTAGTATGTCTCATTAGGCTAGGCAAATGACTACTCAGCTAACAATCCAGCGGATTTATTTTATACTCTTGAACACACCTGGCAAGACTGGGAGTCTAATAATGTGCCCTTTATCTGCAAATGAAACAGTGCCTTGATTTGCATACCAATTAATAGGAACTACTTTATATTACTACATATACTACTTTGCACTTAATTTTGCATGTAGCATTTTAAAACTTCAAAAACGCTTTAAGAATTTCTACTCTTGCTTCTTCACTGTAGTCAATTGTTTCACTGCAGTGTATGCCATAAGAATGAGCATTTTTTGGCATCTGAATGACTTAAAGTATTAACGAACCTGGGTTTATTATTTCAAAATGTATAGCGTTTCAACTTATTACCTCTCCACTGAATTGGAAAGCAGAAAAAGGAAAGCCTCCTGCCAGAAGTTTCAGGAGCTAATAGCAAATGGCCAGTGAAGGCAAAAAATGTAATTCCCGTGCTAGTGTTGACTAAATCTAAAAGCTACTGCACTAATTCCACAAATAAAAAAAACAGGAAAAGACTGATACTTCATGGCAAGGTCAGGGAAATCCTTTAATGTTCTTATCCCAATTATTAAAAACCTAAACCCCATATAGTGAAGAACCACATAATACACTTGAAAATGATGATATTCTTAAATGCATAACTGATTTGGGTTTCCACTTTATTTACCATTTAGATTAGAGTCTTTCAGGGCACACACAAGATTCACACCTTTCTTTTCCTCTTGAGGAACTAAGAACTTTTTCCTCCTGGGCTCCTTCTCCCCACACACCCTGCTTGGTTTATTTTCCTTCTGATCACTTGTGAACACCTAAGTCTGGGAGCGAAGACTTTAAGAAAAACAATTCCAAGAGGGTGCTGATTAGCAACACTTAGAATTAAGTAATATCACCTATAATCAATCACTTGCAAACTTTTACTAACAAGTCAACAGTATTATTAACTGGCACTCTCCTCTGCTTCCTCAGAAGCGACCTTGCTTTCTAAAAGGAGGAACTTTATTATTAGTTATAAAATAGTAACTGTAAGTAGCCAGGTCTCCACTTTTCAAACGTTCATCGTCATACTCCAGCATTTATATTTGGCACGTTATACCCCTGCTTTAGCGTTGTCCACAGAAGGCTAGCCAAAGCACGTTTCAGCTAGAGCAGCTACCTACAGTTGTTCAATTCATTTGTGTCTTCTTTGTAGACAGCTTCTTTGATAGCTGGCATTAAGAAATCCAAGTGATGCCAGAGGTTAAATATAATTTAACATG